GATATCGTAAGTTAATTGTTGAAAAAGTTACCAAGTTTCCCTTAAATATTTCTAAAAAATATTAAGCAAATAAAAAAATGTTTCAGACAAAAGTTGTTCAAATTAATTGGTAGAAAAAGAAAATATAATAAAAAATTGGGCTTCCAACTTAAAAGAATTAAGTTGACCTTCAACCAACTTTGAAAATGCCTTCCAAATAAAAAACTGATAATGCCATTCTCTTTCCCCTTCGAAATTATGGAACACGTGTTTTAGCTTTTTTTAATATCTTTCATAGTTTTTGAGATTTTTTACCTGTTACGTTTGAAATTTAGCACCCTGTATATATATTTACAAAATCGATCCTGAAATATAAGAAATAAAAATAAATTCATTAATACACTTCTAATATTACAACAACTTTAATGGTTCCTACAGTTACTTGCAGGAGTTAACAGTTAACAGTTACCTGTTGTTGTCCCGTACAGTCGCTTATAATATATATATATATATAAATATATATGTGTTAATAATCAAAATCCTGCTTTATAACGACGTTAGATATAATACAAGGAATACGGCAGAACAATTTGATGGTGATATATTACGTTAACGAGGCAATATTTCTCATGTTCCAAAATTATATTGTACGTGACATGCTGCAATGCCTGGTACAGTCTTTTATATACGATAAATGTTAGACGGCCTGATTGCGAAATCTAGCTTTGTAAAGACCTCGGGGATAGATCGAGGAATATGTTATAACAATTTGATGCTGTTATATGATAGCAAAGAGGTAAAATATTTTTTCTTGTAACATGGTATTTCGCGGGATTCGCTGCGATGTTTCGTATGACACACGCTTTATTAATATATGATAAATTTTTGACGGCCGGAATGCAAAATATGGCTCTGTAGGGACCTGAATAATAGTTCAAGGAATATTCCATATCAATTCGGCGGTTACATATATATTACGCCAAGAAGGCGGAATATCTCTTCTTGTGAAATTGTATTTGCGTAATCCGCCTTAACGCTTGATGCATCTTTATTTATTTATAATAAAAGTTAGACGGTCTGATTGCAAAATCTGGCCTTGTGAGGATCTTGGAAATAGTTTTAGAGATATGCTATAACAATATGATGATAACATATTACATCAGTGAAGGAATATATCTCATTTTGTACAATGCTATTATACGTGATCCGCTCCGACGCTTCATATCTTCATATCTTTATTTATTCATGATACATTTTTCACGGCCTGACTGCAAAATCTGGTTCTGTAGGTTTCTCGGGGATAGTTCAAAGAAGATGCTATAACAATTTGGCGGTGAAACATATCGTCAATGAGGTAAAATTTTGCATCTCCTACAATAGTTTTTCGACTGATTCGCTCCAACGCCTGGTATGACGGACACTTTATTTATATATTATAAATTTTTGACGACCGGATTGCAAAATCCGGCTTTGTATCTCGGGAATAGTACGAAGAAGATGCTGCAACAATTTGGTAATAATACCGTCAAAGAGAGTATCGTCAAAGAGACGAAATATTGCATCTCGTAAAATGATATTTCGAGTGATTCGCAGCGACGCTTGGTACAGCGGACGCTTTATTAATGTATGATAAATTTTTGACGGCCGGATTGCAAGATCTGGCTCTGTAGGGTTCTCAGGGATAGTTCAAGGAAGATACCATAATAATTTGGCGGTTATATATATTGTCAACGAGGCAATATATTTGTTCTTGTAAAATTGTATTCCGCCTGATTCGCTGCGATATTTGGTACAGCTAACGCTTTAATTATGTATAATAAATTGTTGACGGCCTGTTTGTAAAATCTAACTCTGTACAGATCTCGGGAATAGTTGTAGGAAGATGCTAAAACAAGTTCATGGTCATATATACGTCAATAAGGCAAAATATTGCTTCTTGTAAAATGGTATTCCACCTGACTCGCTGCAACTCCTGGTACGGCTGATGCTTTATTTATATATATTATAAATTTTGGACGGCCAGATTGCAAAATCTGGCCCTGTAGGGACCTCGATAATAGTTCACGGAATATTCCATATCAATTTGGCGGTTACATATATCGTCAACGAGGCGGTATACCTTTTCTTGTGAAATTGTATTCGCGTGATCCGCCTTGACGCTTGGTGCCTTTATTTATTTATGATAAAAGTTAGACGGCCTGATTGCGAAATCTGGCTTTGTAGAGACCTCGGAAATAGATCGAGAAATATATGTTGTAACAATTTGGTGGTAATATATGAGTGCAACGAGGCAAAATATCTTTTCTTGTAGCACGGTATTTCGCGGGACTCGCTGCGATGTTTCATACGACGCTCGCTTTATTAAAATATTATAAATTTTCGACGGCTGGATTGCAAAATCTGGCTCTGTAGGGACTTCTATAATAGTTCAAGGAATATTCTATATAAATTTGGCGGTTATATATCGCTAATAAGGCGGCTATCTTCTTGTAAAATGGTATTGTACGTGATCCGCTCCGACGCTTCATACATCTTTATTTATTTATGATACATTTTTCACGACCTGGCTGCAATATCTGGCTCTGTAGGTTTCTCGAGGTTAGTTCAAAGAAGATGCTATAATTATTTGGCGGTTAAATATATCGTCCACGAGGTGAAATTTTGCATTTCCTACAATCATTTCTCGACTGATTCGCTCTAACACCTGGTACGACGGATGGCTTTATTTATATATTATAAATTTTTGACGACCGGATTGCAAAATCCGGCTTTGTGCTGATCTTGGAAATAGTACGAAGAAGATGTTGCAACAATTTGATAATAATATCGTATCGTCAAAAAGATGAAATTTTGTATCTCGTAAAATGATATTTCGTATAACTCGCAGCGGTGTTTGGTACGGCGGACGCTTCATTTATTTTTCATAAATTATGGACGGTTGGATTGCAAAATCTGGCTCTGTAGGGACCTTGATAATAGTTCAAGGAATATTCCATATCAATTTGGTGGTTACATATATCGTCAACGTGACAAAATATTTTATGTTTTACAGTGGAAGCTGGAAGGTATTCATGTACATACACACGGCAATACTTATGCACTGCTCATATATACCCTAATGCTAATGCATTGCTCGCGCGAACGCAAGGCAGGAAGGTTAGGTCATACAGACTGCACCATAGTGCAACTAGGCTACACTTTCCGTGTAGCATATTTTGCCACGCAGATATCATATTTGCTTATCAGACTTACATAGGCATCTTCCTTATATTAGTATCTAGGTCGGTACAGAGCCCGATTTTGCATTTAGGTTCTTGAAAATTTGTAATAAATGGAAATATAGCCTCGTGCTGCACCGCGGGATGCACTTTCATTCAAAATTTTTATTCGATTTTTATTCAGACCTTTTTTCCAAAAAAGCGCTCTGTACGAGCATGTGGACATTTCTCCTGATTACAAATATCATACATATAAGGTGATTCTCTTCGTATTTTGTTCATAATTTGCAGTATAATTTTGCCTAGTTCGCGGTTCTCCGCAAGAGGTCTCTAGTAGGCTTCTGTAGACCCTTAAACTAAAGCTAAGACTCCATGCATGCGGTGAGTTCCGGCAAACGGCTGCGGTGACCAATCAGGAGACAGACGCATGCCGGAGCTTGCCGCAACCGGACTTGCGCCTCCCTCCTAATTGGTCATCGCAGCATTTGCCGCAGCTCACCGCATGCATGGAGTCTTAGCTTTACTGTAGGGACTCTATTCCGCACTGGAGAAGGATGCCATCTGTATTTATTTTGAGAGGGGGACTACGATGCTACATCCACTTTCAGGGTATCTATTATGGAACTCGTCGGAATCGATTCCGATCGAATTTATTCCGTTATTTCCTAGATTTCTATTATCTTTTCTAGGGGGAACGGAATTATTCCGATCGAAATCGATTCCGACGAGTTCCATAATAAGTACCCAGGTCTCGGCGGTAAAACCTGCATGTAGTGGCAAGCACGGATGTGCTACATCCACTTTCAGGCGGTTTATGTCCGTGCTACAACCATAATAGTGTACTTGACAAGCACGGTCTCGCACATTGTTACACGTTTGTAACATGAATTAACATGTTAACATGTGCAAAAAAATAAGAATTGACATTATGTATGATTAATATCATGAAGATCGTACAAAGTGTCCGGTAATTAGCTGCGAACCCGAAGTATGAAGATAGATCGGGTTGAAACAAACATAAAAGTCCTATACCGTTTTGCAAGATTCACAATAATTATCGAGTTATTAATTACAGAAATCTGACAAATGAGCGCACCTTGAGACGAATGATTGGAGAAGCATCGTAACAGAGAAAAGAACATCATTAACATGGATGTGGGTGACATGGATGTGGATGTGGATGCGGATAAGGGTGTAGATGTGGATGTGGATGTGGATGTCGCAGAAAAACGCAGAAAAATACACAAAACGCTGGACAACGCAAAAAAGCGAAAAAACGCTAAAAAACGATGAAAAACGCAGGAAAACGAAGAAAATTGCAGAAAAACGTGTAAAAATACAGATAAACGTTGAATAACGCAAAAAGATAAAAAAGATGCTGAAAAAACGCGGGAAAACGCAGAAAAATGCAGAAAAATACAGAAAAACAATGAGAAACGCAAAAAGACGAAAAAATGTTGAGAAACGCAGAAAAACGTAGAATATTGAAAAAAACGCTGAAAAACTCTTTTTTCCATGTTTTTCTGCGCTTTTATTAGTGCTTCTGCGACGTCCACGTCTACATCCACATCCGTACCCTCATTCATATCCACATCTACATCCACATCCACATATACATCGCGCATATGTGGATGATGTGGATGTAGATGTGGATGAGAATGAGGGTGCGGATGTGGATGTCGCAGAAGAACGAAAAAAAGCAGAAAAACGCAGAAAAAGAAATTTCTCAGCGTTCTCCTGCAATATTCTATGTTTTTCTGTGTTTTCCTGCGTTTTCCAACGTTTCTTTTTTGTTTTTTTACGTTATCCATTATTTTTCTGTATTTTTCTGCGTTCTCCAGCGTTTTCTGCGTTTTGTTGCGCTTTTCTACGTTTCTCTATATTCGCATCCACATCCACATCATCCACAACCACATCCACATCGTTCTCTTTTCGTCTTCTTACGTTACTCATAGTTTTTCTGTATTTATGTACGTTCTTCATCGTTTTTCTGCGTTCTGTTGGGCTTTTCTGCGTTTCTCTGTATTCGCATCCACATTCATATCCACATCCACATCGTTTTTTTTTCGTCTTTTTGTGTTACTCATTGTTTTGCTATGTTTTTCTGCATTTTATTGCGGTTTTCTGCATTTCTCTGTATTTGTATGCACATCGACCTTAGCACGCGACGTAAGTCTGCTCTTGTCGTCGGTCCTGCAGAGACTGAGCCTGCTTGCGCCTGCACGAGGCACGTAGGCCACCCCTTTCTTCCACCTTCTTTGTCCGGTCCGTTCGCGTTATAACGGACACATAGGTCTTGAAGGACCTAACCTAACTTAACCTAACCGCGCACCATACGCTGGTCTCATGCCCAGCATGGGACCAGCAGCGCAGTGTTCTGGCCCGGGCGGTGGGCTGCGACGTGGAGGCCCTCTCGCTCCCGCGCATGGTTAAGGCCATATGCAGGAGCGAGGAGGCATGGGGGGCGGCGGCCTCTTTCTGCAAGGACGTTATGTGGCAGAAAGAAGCCGCCGAATGGGAGCGTCGCCCAGGTGCCCGCCGTAGGGCGTAGCGGGGGCGGCGCTCCCCGGGGGTGGAAAGCGGGCCCGAGGTGGCGCCGGCCGAGGAGTCGCCACTGATTCGGGGGCCTCCTCGGCCGCCTCGGGCCTGCCTTCGAACGCGAGGGGGCGACGGGTGTCTAACCTGCCTCCCCCGAGCGTAGGGACCGGGAAAGGGGAGTGGAGGCCTGGTTAGGGCTAAGCCTCACTCCCCGTCTCCCTTGACGAGCAAGGGGGGCTTGGAGCGAGGGTGGGTATCCCCCCTCCAGTAAATATAATCAGAAGGCCAACCCGGCCGGGCAACCGGCCGGGGGACCGCGCCCCCAACTCCCTTTGTGGGAGGGGGCACGGTACTTGGGCATGGGGTTCTGTTAATGAGCCTTGGGGCCGGGATGTCGGGGAGGGAATACGGGAGTAGTTCCCCTGACTCTCCCCACCACGGTCCGAAAAATAGATACCCCGGTGGGGTTTTAGCCGATAGGAGTCCGGCATAACCCCCGCCCTCCCTAAGGGGCGGGGGTATCCATTATGGATTTCCCCACCGTTATAAAAAAAAAAAAGCCGACACATAGGCCTGATCTACAATATGTGTCGTAAGTTGTAAGCCGTAAGAATTGACGAATCACAGTCGATTATTACAAAAATAATCGGCTATAATTGGTCAGTTCTTACGGCTTACAGCTTACAACACATATTGTAGACCAGGACATATTGTGCACATGCATACGCCGGGTCTCGCAGGCCCGTACACTTACAGGGCCCTCGCTGTGCTAACTTTCAGGGTCGTATCAAGTATCAGGTGTAGTAAAAAGAAATCCATTATTTTTCCAATAGATGGCTCTAGTTATCTGTATCTCGCGTTGTATAAGTCCGATCGGGTTCCACTAGATGGCGTTAGAAAGATGAGATTTCGTACTAAAAAAACTTTTGTGACAGTTTTGTGATTAGTTGACTCAGTTTTGTTTGAGCGCGCGTCAAAGATGGACACTAGCAAAGAGAAAATACGCTATATTTTACAATTTTTCTTCGATAAAGGCGAAAACGCAAGCCAGGCGGCTGAAAATGTGAATAGTCCTGATACTGTAACAGCCAATCACGCGCAATTTTGGTTTCGTCGATTCCGTTCCGGTAATTTCGATGTCAAAGATGCACCACGCACTGGAAGGCCAATTGTCGAAAATATCGATAAAATCATGGACATTGTCGAGTCCGACCGTCATGTAAGCACTGTTTCGATTGTCCAAGAGCTAAAGATTGCACAAAAACCGTTTGGAACCATTTGAATAAGGCTGGATGCAAAAAGAAGCTCGATGTATGGGCCGATGTATGCCACACGAGTTAACGAAAAAAAACCTCATGGACCGAATTTCCATCTGTGAATCGCTGCTGAATCGCAACAAAATCGACCCATTTCTGAAGCGGTTGGTCACTGGTGATGAAAAGTGGATCACTTACGACAACGTCAAGCGAAAACGGTCGTGGTCGAATCGCGGTGAGCCGGCGGAAACGGTGGCCAAGCCAGGGTTGACGGCCAGGAAGGTTTTGCTGTGTGTTTGGTGGGATTGGCAGGGAATTATCTACTATGAGCTGCTCCCCTACGGCAAAACTCTTAACTCGGAACTGTACTGTCAACAATTGGACCGTCTGAAGGAAGCAATCGCCCAGAAGCGGCCAGCTTTGGCCAATAGGAAAGGAATTGTGTTCCATCAGGACAACGCCAGGCCACACACATCGATAGTGACTCGCCAGAAGCTCCGGGAGCTTGGTTGAAAGGTTCTTATGCATCCACCTTATAGCTCGGACCTGGCACCAAGTGATTACCATCTGTTCCTGTCCATGGCGAACAATTTTGCTGGTGAAAAATTCGCTTCAAGAGAGGCTTGTGAAAATCGACTGTCTCAATTTTTTGCCAATAGGGACGAGGGCTTCTATGAGAGAGGCATAATGAAATTATCTTCAAAATGGCAACAAGTTATCGAACAAAACGCGCATATTTGACCTAAATCGGATCATTCTAACTATGATAATTAAAGCCTTCAATTTCATGCAAAAATAATGGATTTCTTTTTACTACACCTGATATAATTTTCAAAAAATATAATTTTCTTGCGCGCTATATATATTAGGAGTACAAATAAGTTTCCGCCGTTTGACAACAGATGGCCCTACCAGAAGGTTATGAAATTATCAGATGTAAAACATAATATCGTAAGTTTGAACATCTGGTAACAACATAACCTTGAAGTATTAGTGACTCCGTATTAGCATCACATAATTTTTTTCGTGCGAAAATGTCAAGTTTCGTGCCGAATAAGCGTCATTTGCGGGAATTTTTGATTTACTTCTTTAATTTGAAGAAATCTGCAGCTGAGGCGCATCGATTGCTTGTAGAAGCATACGGTGAGATTGCTTTAAGTGAGAGAAGTTGCCGTGAGTGGTTTCAAAAGTTTATAAACGGTGAGTTTTACGTGGAAGACAAAGAACGTAGTGGAAGGCCGAAAGTGTACGAAGACACGGAATTGGAAGCATTGTTGGAAGATTCGTGCCAAACGCAAGAAGAACTTGCACTTACATTAGAAGTGACTCAACAAGCAATTTCACATCGTTTAAAATCGTTGGGAATTATTCAAAAACAAGAAAATTGGGTTCCATATGAACTGAAGCCGAGAGACGTTAGACGCCGATTTTGCACGTGTGAAATGCTGCTTGCCAGGCATAAAAGAAAGGGTTTTTTGCATCGTATAGTCACTGGTAAAGAAAAATGGATCCACTACGATAACCTAAAGGAGAGAAAATCATGGGGACCACCTGGCCATGTTTTAACATCGACAACCAAACCGAATATTCATGGAAAAACTCATGCTGTGTATTTGGTGGGATCAGCTTGGTGTCGTGTATTATGAGTTGCTCAAACCGAACGAAACCATTACTGGAGCTCTCTACCGAACATAATTAATGAGATTGAGCCGAGCACTTAAGAAAAAACGCGCCCATTACTACTCCAGACGCCCATTACTACTCCAGACACGACAAAATTATTCTCTTACATGACAACGCTCGGCCACATGTCGCAAAACCGGTCAAAACCTATTTGGAAACACTTAATTGGGAAGTCCTATTCCACCCGTCGTATTCACCAGACATTGCTCCTTCCGATTATCACTTGTTCCGGTCGATGGCACATGGCCTGTCTAAGCAGCGCTTTACATCATATGAAGATACTAAAAATTGGGTCGATTCGTGGATAGCCTCAACAGATGAAGAGTTCTTCCGACGTGGTATCCGAATGCTGCCAGAAAGATGGGAAAAAGTAGTGGCTAGTGATGGACAATACTTTGAATAAAACGTAATGTACCGTTCTTTCACAATAAATTCCTAATTTTTGATAGAAAACGGCGGAAACTTATTTGTACTCCTAATATATATGTACGTGAGTACAACATTCGCTCTTATCGATACTTTGGTAATAACTAAAATAATTTCGTTACGGGATTTTTGTTATCAGAAGGCGGTGTGTTATCCCGAGTATTTTTATCATGCAAAAGTTGATTTTTAAAATGCTTGGTAAGGTGGTGATTCTATGGTTAGTTTTAAAAAAGTTTAGCATCGTTATCTTTGGAACATTGTGACTAATCCGATTTTACCATTTCACCATACGTGGTTGTTTTTCAAATTAACAATAAACGAAATTTAGTACTGTAATAAACTGTTATTAACCCACGCCCGAAAGTCCTAAAATATTAGCCTTACTTTGCAACTGTATTTTATGTAGAGAAACATTATATAGGGTTGGAATAGCATTTCCTTATATTTTCGGGGTCGTTCTACAAGATTCCGGCATCAGAATTCGTTTAGATTCACAATAAAATTCAATATGGTGGAATTTTTGGAAAGAAGTCTTAATAAATCGACAACTTTATTTTTTATAAACTTGATTTCGTATCAAAAACGTTACTTTGATACAGATACAAGTGTCACATCTTGTCTCAAAAATGTTGAACTTTCAAGGTATGCATTGGTGAAAATGTGAATTCAAGATGGCTGCCTCAAAATAGCGGTTTGAGCGAAAAAAACTTAAAAAATAATGTATTTTTAGAATAACTTCGCAAAATCCTAGTATTTAGCATCAATTTAGTATTCAAGGTACTGATTTTAGGATATTTGTTGACAACTAATTCATATTAGAGAATTTCAAAATGGCGGATCCAAAATGGCGACTAAAAGGCACGAATAATCGTTCAAATTTCCAGATTTTCATGAATTTTCTTCTATTATTTTCATATTCATAAATTATTTTCGAGACGTACACACGCACATATACAGGGTGGGTAATTATAAATTTACGAATAAATGCGCAGTGGTCGGACATCGCAGGCCTGCTACTCCACACAGCTTGGACCGGATTGACAGACAACAACGGCGTGCGCCGGTCCACTGTTGTTGCCTGCCAATCCGGCCCACGCCGTACAGAGTAGCATACATGCGATGCCCACAACACATGCCCATTGATCATTTAACGCTCATTTATTTAGCAATTTTTCTCAAAAGTTTACGTAATCGATTTCTATTTTTTTCCGTCCGTTGTACTTATCTCGATGTTTTTTGTTTTTTATAAAGTTTGTAAGTTTATAATTACCCACTCTGTATATGTGCGTACCTGTATGTGTACGTCTCGAAAATAATTTATGAATATGAAAATAATAGAAGAAAATTCATGAAAATCTGGAAATTTGAACGATTATTCGTGCCTTTTAGTCGCCATTTTGGATCCGCCATTTTGAAATTCTCTAATATGAATTAGTTGTCAACAAATATCCTAAAATCAGTACCTTGAATACTAAATTGATGCTAAATACTAGGATTTTGCGAAGTTATTCTAAAAATACATTATTTTTTAAGTTTTTTTCGCTCAAACCGCTATTTTGAGGCAGCCATCTTGAATTCACATTTTCACCAATGCATACCTTGAAAGTTCAACATTTTTGAGACAAGATGTGACACTTGTATCTGTATCAAAATAACATTTTTGATACGAAATCAAGTTTATAAAAAATAAAATTGTCGACTTATCACTTTTTTCAAAAATTCCGCCATATTGGATTTTATTGTGAATCTAAACGAATTCTGATGCCGGAATCTTGTAGAACGACCCCGAAATTATAAGGAAATGCTATTCCAACCTTATATAATATGTTTCTCTACATAAAATACAGTTGCAAAGTAAAGCTAATATTTTAGGACTTTTGGGCGTTAATAGGTTAATTAAACTAAATGCTTTACACCTTGCGCTATTGATTTTGCTAAATTGATTTTAACCATTTGCTTCTTTGTACCATCTTGCATTTTTGTACCATCTTACCATATTTGGTCTTTTTAGTCTAGGTTTGCTATGGTACTTATGCTATGGTACTATCGGGTACCCCGATTACGCATCGACTGGTCAGTCAGGATGGTTGGGTTAGGTTAGGTTAAGTTTTCGTAATTTTTATCCACTCTATAATCTTATTTAGTCCATCCTTTATTTTTTTTTTGACGTGGGTATTTGTCTTGTTTTTAAAGAAAACTTATCTTACTATATATATGTCTGAATCCATCATTTAAAGAAAACTAATGTGTACTTATTCCGCTATACTTATCAAAAAACTATAACTGAACTTGGATTATTATATGCTTAATAAACTGTTATAATGAAAAGTTATTAACTGAACTTCATATTGTGGATTTCCACTGAAACAAAACTATAACAAAAAAACATAATCAGGATTTACATTACTACATTCCTGCACCATTGTCGTCGTAACAAAAATTTAACAAAACTTGCTATTCTTTTACAAACGCAAACAATAAAATAAAATTATATCTTCTTTATTTCACGTCTTCTTCTCGTGGTGAACCTCGTCCGCCATTCCTGCATCCGGGGTCGGGTGCACCTTGCTCCTGCTTGTTTCTCCGATGCCGCGGGTATGAGCTGGGATTTTGTTTTTCTTGAGACGTTACTCGTTTGCTGCATCTGCTGTGCTTTGTGTTTCAGCTGATGGTTGTCTTAGTTTTATGGCAGGTGTAATTATCCTGACGGAGTCTTCTGATTCTGTTTGTGTTTCATTAGTCTGTCTGTTGTCTTCTAGGTTCTTTTGTAGTTGATCCATGAGTTTGTTTAGCTGTATATTAACAGGGATCGTTTGTTGAATGTTTACCTTTATTTGTTTGTTATTATTTGTTTGAATCGGTGGAGTTATGTTCTTCAGTTCTTCCCGCGATTTAGGGGAAACATTTAAACTTGTTGTGACCATTGGTGGTGTTTTTTGTTTCAGCCGTTGTTTCCATTTATCGGTTTGTATGTCGCGTAATATGACTTTGGCTGTGCTTATGTCCACAAGAAGAAGTTTTCGAATACACTTTATGGTTGCTTTTCCTGGATCTGTTTGTTTTTTAGTTGTTTCTGTTTTTATTATTGTCGCTACTTGTTTATATCGTTGAGCGACTTCGCTGATATCTTCTTCGTCGACGAATAACTGGTCGTGTAGAATTCTTTTTTTATTTTTGTTCTGTTGTATTCGTTTGATTCGGCCGCCGTCCATGCTCTATATTGACCGTTACGATTTCTTGGTCTTGGGATGACCGATAGATCTACGTAAGGTCTTTCCCTCCTCTTAGAGTATCTTCGTTTTGTAGAGTATCTCGTGAGTTGTAATTTCCTTGATGCTCTGTATGTGCCGCTTGTTGACGGTTGGTTGATGTCAATTGTATATGTGTCTCTCTTTGGCGATTGGTTGGTATAAATCCACGGCGGTGATGGTGACTTTTGTTCCTCCTTTTCTTCTTCTACTGTCGGTAACTCCTCCCATGTCTCGTTCGACCTTTTTCGTTCAATTGAGGCTTTTATCTCCATGGTTTCGCGTCTTATTTGTTTTATTGCCTCTTTTAATTGTTCCTTTATCGCCTGCTCCTTCTCTTTCTTTGTTTCTTCCAAGATTTGTTGCAACTCCTCCAGGTTATCTGGGAGTTCCTGCTGGCTATTATCTTCTGCCATCTCTCTTTCTGCTGGTGAAATTTGCTGGTTAGTTTCGATCGTTGATTTTTCTTCCAGCGACGTGGCGGGATCGTGTGTTTTTACATTTTTATTCGGCCTACTTCGTGTACATACATCGCTCGGGTTCGCGGTTTCTACTTCACTTGCTCGCACTTCGCTTGGGTCTGTTTTATTTCTTAAACTTACTCTCCGGGTCGAAGTTAGGATAGGTTTTGTTATTCCTATTTCCTTGTTACTGTTAAAGTTTTCATTATTTATTATAACGCCCTCGCTATTCTTTAAAAAGCCCTTGTTATTATTTGCCGAGCCCCCGCTGTTTCTTAAAAAACTCCCGCTGTTTTCTGTTATCGCATTATCGGCAGGGCTGCTAAGTCCCTCGTAATGGGCTATTCGTGATCTTTGTTTTTTATTGACCCTCTTATCTCCTATAGAGATTTCATTCGTTTCCTTTAAATTGATTGTGTCATTTGATTCTGTGTTGCTATTATTACTACTTTCGTTAGGTTCTATCTGTTCTATGTTTACTTGTTCGTTATCATTATTTCGCGATGTGTCTATTTTGTTAATAGATAATTTTGAAAATAAAGCCACTTGGGCCAGATCTGAGTTAATTGGTTCCAGCATTTCTGCTGGAAATTGCTGAAAATAATTTATTATTAGTTTAAACAAAGCCTGGTACGGAATATCCCAGGTCGTGGTCGTTATTATGCCTGTTACTGTTCCGTCAATACCGTGTTCATGAGTCTTTGGAACGTCGCTGGCGCGTTTTTAAGTCCGAATGGCATCTGATTAAATTAAAAGTGTCCATACGGGGTTGAGAATGCGGTCTTTCTTTTGTCGCGTTTCGCCGTCTTGATTTGATGGTATCCCGAGGCGAGATCTAATGTTGTAAAATATTTTGCATTTCCTAGGTCCAGTATATCTGTGATATTGGGCAGTGGAAATTAGTCGCTAATAGTTAAATCATTCAACTTCCTGAAGTCGATGACTACTCGAAGTTTTGATTTTCCGGATGCGTCAGGTTTTTTGGGCACCACTAGGAGTGGGGCGTTCCACTAACTGCGGCTCGGACGAATTATTTGATGTTGCAGCATTTCATTTATCTGTGAATTGACTTCGTAATTGTGCTTCGCCAGCAGGCGGTATGGTTTTATGTTTACGGGCGCGGTGTCGGATTGCACGTTTATCTCGTGTCGCACGGCGTCCGTATGAGTTAATGAATCGCCTTCTAACTGGAATATATCGTTATAGTCAGCGCAAATTCGTTCGATTGCTTTTCGCTCTTCGCTATTTAAATGTACACGTAATAGTTCTTTTACGCGGTCGGCGCGTGATTCAGGTATCGCGTTGCGATGACTTGTCCGCGTCGCGTATATTTCCACGGCGTTATCTATGGCTTCTAGTGTTACATGCGGCATGCCCATTTCGATTTCTTTTTCTGTAGTATTTAATATGCTGATTTTGCAATTGTTGTTTATAGGCTTTACCAAACAGTTGCCTATGAATATTTCTGGGCGTATTTCCTTGGAATATATAAACCCGGTTTTATTTTTATCCACCGTCGCAAGGACTATAGTCGCGCAGCGCAGTTTTAATCGGAGGACCGTATGGGGATACAATTTCAGGTGTGTACCCATTATTGTTAGCTGTCTTTCTTTATAGTCGCAGGTGGCCTCCGTTACTTGTAGGAAATCGATTCCTAATATTCCCTCGTAATCAATAGGGAAGTCGTTGTGCACAATATAAATAATGTGCTTGATAGCTGCTTTTCCTATTTGGATTGTTGCGCGGAATCTTCCGAGGGTGTGTATTGTATGTCCGGTTATCCTGGTTAACTCTATTTGTTCTTCATCGATTAGGGTTTCACCCTTGAGATTTCGTAATTTAATAAAGCTTATCGCGGATCCGGTATCCAGCAGGAACAATGTTTTCTCTCTTTTAAATTGTTTCACGGTTAAATAGATCAGTTCTAATCCCGTTCTTTTTTTATTATTATTTCGAGGTTGCAATTGATTGATTGGATACGCGCGGGCGGGTTTGCGTCGTCTGCGCTTTTCATCGCGATCACTATCTTCGTCGCTTTGCGTATTCTTCGCGAGTCTATTTTTCTCCTCGCGGAACTGCACCATTCGTAGGTTCGGATTTCGCGTTTTAGGTGTGTCTGCGGCGTGTGCGGGCGTCGTCTTCCCGTGGAGGTTTCAGCATTCCTCGCGTGTATGTCCCGACTTGTCGCAGAATGTACAATGTTTACTAACATTGTTTACGCGCGCGATTCCCTCAGGTTTAGGCAATGAAAATCGAGTTCCGTATCGGCTGTTACGGCACTCTCGCCCGGTGTGCCCCAGCTTTCCGCACTTTAGGCATTTTAATGCGAGTGGTTCTCGCGCGGGCATACTCATCGCATTTCTTTGATATCGCGTGATTTCGTTGGGGCGACTATTGCTACTTCCTACCCCTTTCACCCGTTCCTTCTACGGCTTCAGTTATCGCGTCTGCTAATGTCGCGGGAGCGCGAGAGCGTATTATCGTTTGTAATTTCTCGTTCAACCCTAATTGATAGTTCGCGAGCGCTTGTTGTTTAATATATCGATGTATAGCGCTCTTTTCGTGCTCGGAATACTCGTTGCCTTCGGTGGTCGCTGTGAATAGTTCGGCCGCCAAGTTTTCTACTCGTTTACCGAAAACACGTGCTTCTTCCCCCGGTTGCTGTTGTGCGTAGTTAAATTCGTGATGTAACCGTGTACTGGATTTTTTTCTCGCGTAACACGCTTCTAATGTGTTTTTTAACGATGCGTAGTTGCGCGGATTTCGACTAACGCGATTCCTTTTAATTTTGTGCAGATTATTGCCCTTACTAATGCAGCTTCATCTGCGAAGTATATTATTTCAAATGCGTAATCACACGCAGTTAGGAATTCCATAAATTTTCCTTCGTTCGAACCGTTGAAGAGTGGAATATGGTCCTTTGCTTCGCGCAGTCTAGCGTGATTCTCTGTGTTCCGGCCGACGTTTTCTATTTCTTGGTGTGGTCTGTTGTATGAATCTCGCTCGTATGTCTCTACTGGCGCGGCGTCGGTGAGCTATCCCGACGTTTCCTCGCGCGAGTATTTGCGCTGTCGTGGCGGATATATTTTTTAAATCCTCTATTCCTTCTATTATTATTTCGAGTAAAGCAAATAGTCGATCTGACGAGCCTCGTGATAGCGAGAGAGAGAGAGAGAGAGAGAGAGAGAGAGAAAGCGAGTCGCAGCGCGAAATTTTCATGCTCGAATATCTTATAGTTTATCGGTGTTAATCATATTCGTATGGATGGATAATGGTGAAGGAATTCATCAAGTTGTAAAATATAAACAAGTTCACGTCGCGATGGTCTCGCAAAGTCTCTTAAACGCAGTGTCTTCTCTCGAGAAGGTGCGAGTAGCAAAGTTGCTAGAATACTCCATAACATCGTCACGATTTTATTTATAATGCATTCCTCATTGCGGTCTCATTTAACTCTTATTGAACAGCTTTTAAGTAAATGTAAAAAATATATTCTACTATATTTGTCTCTAAGCCGGAGATGAGACTATCTACCAGGCTTTTTTCTTTTGATTAAACAAGAAAAGTAATGCGTGCCGCAAATGCACGTTTTCAGGCACAAAACTCGACATTTTCAAAAAATTATTAATCTATAACGCTGTTATTTTGGCAGAACGTAACTTGTGTAGTTTTGAGGTTAATGTCAGTAGAATAAAATGACATATGTATCAAATCATAACATTGCATACTTATGGCTAGTGACATCTGTTACAAAAACCGGAAAATAATTACCGACATACCTGGTAAAAGGGAGGAAAAATGAATATTTGATAATTCACCGATAATTTTTTCGTGTACAATTTCCAGAGTGCACGTTCACGCATATAGGAAACAAAAGAAAGAAAACATTTTTATAGTGATATTCATTATATCGCGAATAATATAACCATATTAATCGCAACGGAATATTGACGGCAGCATGGCGCTATGAAAATCAACCTAGGAATTGATAGCACCGTTATTTAATTATTTTTTCATTGTCTTCTCGGTGCGTTTTTTGGAGAATGAGGAAACGACTGGAATATATAATTATAGTGGCGATAACGTCTCTCTGTTTTTTAAGGAATTACTAAAATCTATTAATAAACGGCTACATTGAGAAAATTTTATGCATTACTCATTTATTGATAACCCTTATCCCATATTTTTATTTGTTGAAACAATCATTTCAAATCATTATTTATTGCACGCTCTGCGATCGTAAAGATGTTTGTAAGCGCAATATTGTTCTGGGAAATTAAATTTATGAAGGAGTATTACTCTCCCGAATCTATCGATGATTAATTACTGTCGTCACTACTATCTTGATGATATGCGAATGAAGTAAATAGACGATTAGCTTTACTATAATCCATAAATTGCTGCTTAAATCCCAGTATTATTGTAATTAGTTGAAAAACAAGTTACATAATATATTTTTTCATCATTAAAATAATTAATGCATGAAACGATTGCTCATGATTATTCACACTTAAAATTCTAAGGACTAGTGAGATATTATCCAAAATAATAATGTACCTAAGTACTTGTGATAAAAAATCGCGAGTAATTATCGCATATGATGATGACATGTTCACATGGTCATGCATACTTTTCCCACACATTTTCTTCTGAAAAAGAAAATGACTTATTAATCTGCCGCGAGCGTTCGCTGGCATTCGAAATTAACAGTTTTGTGGTTTGGCTACTCCAACTGCTGGCAGACGCAGATGTTTATGACGAAACATGAACTCAAACGCCGCCGCCGCCCGCGCCGCAGTCTCCGCTACCCTCACCGCCTTCATCGCCAACATACTCGCCACCTTCGTCGCCCACGCCGCCAATGCTGCCGCCATCGTCGACGTAGTCGTCGTTGGCGACGTGGCCGCCGCCGCAACAATCGCTGCCTCCTTTGTCGCCTCTGCCGTCGCACTGTGGAATGTTTAGCTTGAAAAGCTGGCCAAAAGTCAATTTTCTTAAAATCGTCCTAGGCAATTGAATATCTGCGGAATAATGAGCCGCTATGCTTTTGTTTATTCGCGAATGAAGTGGTCTGGTTAGTCGAAATTTGGACATTATTCGTATTGCACGCATCAATTCTCACTGTATACAGTTCCTTTTTCATTTCTCAGTGAACACACCGATGACGAATCACGTCACGGTATAATTTTGTCATCCATTTTGCCTCGCATAGTTTATTGCACCGAAACGGTTCAACGTAACCACCACCGTTATCAATGCAAGCTTAGAGTCTCTTCACCAAATTATTTCGCACTCTACGGAGCACAGCTCATGCTAAAGTAGCAACCGCCTCTTCAATGCGATCTCGTAAATCCTGAGCCGTCTTAAAGCTCTGCCTGACCCATAAACAATGGCTTTCAGAGCTCCCCAGAAATAAAAGTCCAGAGGGTTCAGATCAGGTGAACGGGCGGGCCATAAGTGTGGCGTAGGATTACGACCGATCCATCGAGTTCCAAAAGCTCGTTGTAAAAAAGCGCGGACCTGCCTGCCGAAATGCGGTGGAGCACTGTCATGCATAAAAAAATTCGATTACAGGCATTCCTCGGAACCATACGTCGCAGTCGATTCAGAAGAGTATGACGTAGGAACCGCAAATACTCAACGCTTGACAATCGGTTTGAGAGAAACACAGGAGCAATATAATTATTCCCGAGTATCCCTGCCCAAACATTGACTGAAAAACGGCCCTACTGAACTCTTTGGA